TAAATATTTTCATGTGCATGCTCTCATCATATCATATTTCATTAAATGAAGAAACAGGTATAAGGGACTAGTGTTTGTTTTTTTTTAGAGACAAAGAATGTGGGAGAACTGAGACTTGAAGTTTCTGACTCTGAGGTTCAAGGTACTTTCCTGTGCGTGTGTACAGTATTCTATTCTACTGACACACTGCTGGTAACTCCCTGGCTGTCAGACAAACAGGCAACATTTGTATTCTACCCACCAGCACCTTCAACCCTCTCCCCAACCCCCAAGCTAGATTCTGGCCTACTTATTAAAAGTGTCTACCTCTGCTTTTAATTCCTCAACTGCTATTTTCATTCATGCCGATATTGAGCGATAAAAACTTCAGGATCCCCTTTACTTTCAGAAATGTTGGTTTCAGAGGTCTTCTTCACACACTCACAGCTATAATATTAAGAGCCATATTATAGAGAATCTGTTTGTTCTAACTTCCAATGTATTTCAAATCTGAATTTCCTTTATTACCACATTTTTCATCCTAGCTCAAGCTGCCATCTTGAAACAGACAAAAGTGTGGACTATTGTAAGAATATTCTCCTATCCATCCAGAGCATGGTCCATGGACCAACAGCATTGGCATCACTGGGGAGCTTGTTAGAAATGCAGAATCTCTGTACCACCCTGGACTTGGAGAATTAGAATCTGCATTCTAATGAGATCCCAAAGTATTTACATGCACTTTAAAGTTAGAGATCTGTGGGGACAGATCTCCCACACTTTCTTTGTCTTTTTCATTACATTCTCCCCTTTACATTCAATGTGATCTTTTAAAAACGTATGTTCATACCATTTCTCCACTTGGAATTCTTTAAAGGCTTCTCGTCTCACTTAAAGTAAGGTCCAAACTCTTTACAACAACCTACAAAGTCCTCCAGGATCTAATTTCTACCTACTCCCAGGCACATGAACTTCCTTTCAGTACCGAAAACACACCAACAATACTTGTCTCAATTTTTCCTCTACTCAGAACACTCCCCTTTTGCTCTTGGCATAATCTTAGTTTTCTTAACCTTCCTCTCAGTTTAAATGTCACTTCTTGGAGAAAATTTACTCTTAGGTTCCTCTAGATTTTCCTCTATCATAAACATGCTGGTTTCCTTCAGAACTTATATTTCCGTTTGTTGTTATATTATCTATTTACGTCCTAACCATTGTTTACTTCCCTTCCCAGGCTATATGAGGGTAAAACCCAAACTATTTCCTCAGTACTTAGCATATTGAGTGACGCAAAGAAGATATTCTGTAAATATATGTTGAACAATTGAGTAAACATTTATGCTTCTTGCTTATTGAATTCTTTCAAGAGGATATAATTAAAGAGAAATTGTTAGCATATATAATTCTTGGAATTATTACTAGTTATTTGCAGTTTTGCCTGAATTATGTTCATTCAGCTATATAGATTCTGGAAGGCTCCTAATACAACTTTCAGCTATTACCAGTATAGTAGTTTTTGTTTCCAAGCTATTTGCAGATGTGAGCTAGTTCTCATTTGTTTACTATAACCAACAAATATTGCCCTCGTATCAAATATCCAGCCATGTTCTTAGTGGAAACCCAAGAAAAGGTTGTCTATAAGTATAATTGCTTTTGTACAAAGTGAATGAAGGAACATATTGGACAGATTTCATTCTATTTTTTTAAATCTTGAGAGAGTGGAGGAAAAAAAATGAAATGATAATGGCTTCAAGGGCTGATGTCTGAAACTTCAGGCTACAACTGATGGCTAACCCAGGGTCAGAAAAAGGAAACTCCCTTGTGATGCATCATTGCACAATTACATAAAGCAGATGTGTAATAGAGACTATATCTTTCCCTGAAACATCTGGCATTAGTCATTATGAGAAGCAGGTGCCTAGGTTGAACCGATCACATGTGTGTTCCAGGATGACACATTTCTGTTGTTTCTGGGTTGCATTTGAATTTTCTTTGGCTCCTGTCACCCCAAGCACATTAATTATCAAAATGATAATGCAGAGAAAGATTGCCCAAGAAAGACAGTAAACAAGGTAGCTGTTTCTTATGGCATGATGAGGTTCTGGGTTTCAGAAAAATTAGTATGTCTTCTGGTGATTGACAGCCCATGACAGTCCACATGTAATATTTATATGCTTATTGCAACAGGTTGAGTCACAGCTTCCATAGATGGGACTTGTTGCAGAAGACAGAGTTTGTCTGCTAGTTAGCCAAAGTCTTTGTTAGGATTTAGCCAACCATGGGTCAAGATGTCATAAAAGTTTACAGAATTGTACCCTTTCTTGTCACATCAGCCTTTGTGTCTCACAAAATAAAGTTCTGCAAAAGTACTGGAACAAGGTTTACAAATGTATAAAACTTAAACCAGAGTACATCTGTACAAATTCACTAAGGGGACATGGTGAAGTCACCTGTTCTGTTATACCTTTTCCCCTTGCTTTCCTCCAGCATGGTGTTAATTCACTGATGTATTTCCAGGATGAAAACCATCTGGTTATTCAGATCCATGCACATGGCTTGAATTGTGATCTGGAGTCTTGTGCAGAGTTTGGCAGGAACTTGTGAATATCTGAGGTTCTAATAGTGGCCATATTTCTCAAGGTGTGATGTGCTGATGATTTGATTCAGAATTATCTGGCATGCTAGTGGAAAGTGTAGATTCCTGGGGCTCTCTACAAATCTACTGAAACAGAGTTTCTGACAAAAAGTTTAACAGTATGTGTTTTTAACAAATGCTCAATGATCATCATGAATTTGAACATTTGAGAGCTATTAGCTTCTGTTGAAGGTAAGTGTGCAATTTTTAAATTATTTCTAAAAGGCATTGAATAGAATAGGGGATTAAAATAGTAAACTCTACAATTAAAAATTTTATGGATCAGCAATAATCTTGCAATCCATTCTTGGCTTGTGAACTAGGGTGCTACTGGGATACTCCTGTAGTTAACACTTAGTAATTCAGTATATGAGTCCTCTGTAGTGACTCTTCATAGAATAAAGACTTGTTTTCAGAAATAGTTTATATGGAGTGGAGTGTGTATGTGTGTGTTTGTGCACAAGGGCACAGGTGTGTAGAGGAAAGGAGAGTTAACTGGGAGCCTCTCTTGAATGATTTTAGATTACTCCTTCTTACCCCTCATATGGAATACAAGGACTAAGAGGATTGGTCTTCTTTTTTCCTTCAGTGAAGTGATTTCAAGAGATTTTTCTCTTGTCTTTTTCTTTTGCAAAAGAATAAATATCTCCCATACCTAAGTTCTTCTCATGACAATTCTTTTTTTTAAAAAAAAGATCTGTAGTGCAAAGAGGCAAACAATCATCATTTAAAAAAACATTCAGTATGTTTTAGTCTGTACTGTTAGAAGTCATTTCTTACAAATATTTATTGAACTGTAATAATAAACAGAAAACACACAAACTGAGTGTCATCACGTAACTGATACTGAGAGCACTGACACCAGAAAGTCCCTCTTTTTCCTAATTCCAGTCACTAAGCCTTTCCAAGAAGAAAATATTCTCATGATGTCTAGAATTCACTTTATTTCTAATAAATATCTACTCACTTTACTTATTTTTCTGTAAACACTAGTCTTTCTGTATATATTGGAATCTTAACATCCTAATGATCAATGTTTATTCAATTTGAACTTTCCTGACTAAATGTTGACCTTTAAAAAAATACTTTCCTTATGCTAATTTATAATTGTAGAATTTTTCTTTTATTGAGTGAAATTCTCCAGGTTCATTTTGAACATTTCTGTTTACTCTCTGTTCTGTTTCTAATCTAAAATGTACAAATTAAAATTTCAGGATCGTATTAAGTAGTCATTATCAATTATGAAACACTCAGGGCAATTATTTGCACTACATTCTCTTAAAACAACTAGTTGACATTTTTTTCCATTTTATCCAATGGGAAAATTTGGTCAACAAGCAAACCAATTGGTTGGATATAGTGGATTTGACACAGTAGTTTATTGGGACTAGGGAAAATTCAACAGGAATTGAGACTTAGTATATTAGGGATATACAACTAAAAATAAATATGGAGCTATTGGGGACTTCATATAATGTTTTTCTATTTCAGTCATCAATCAGACTGGTATTGTCAGCAAGGGATAAGCCTATTGTCTGCAGAATTAAAAAGAAAGGTGTCACATCAATGTGAAAACAATATTTTGTTTGTGGTCTGACGGCTGGTTGCATGACCGAAGAAAAGCCATACAGCTCACTTTAAGACTCAGTTTTCAAATCCATAAAATGAGAATAACAATATTTTTTGACAGGTTGTGCTGAGAAGTAAATGAGATTAATGTTTCTAACCATCTAATAAAATGCCCGAATACAGTAATTGCTCAATCATTGTGGGCTTCCCCTATCTTTCAGCATGGCAGCGTAGCATTTTCAAGGGAGGACTAGTCCAGTGGAATATAAAGCAACATTGTACTGTACCCTTTTTCATATATATTATTTATTTCTTATTCCCAAAGAAATGCATGCTAATTACATAAAATTTCAAAGTAGAGATATGAAAAAACCCCAAAACTCACATAATCTCACACTCTTGGAGATGGACATAGTAATGCTGGTTTTTATAGGCATCTCACTTAACATTGTATATCCTTAGTAGCCCTCAGAGCACCCTGCTCCGAGTAGGTATATACAACATTTTAGAAACTGAACATTTCCAAAAAGACATTAAAGTGGTTGTAAATCCTTTATATATATTAATTACAGGCCTAGAATTGAATCCAGCAGACTTTTTGTTCTACCTGTTATTTTTTCAGTCCTCAAGGACAGATACTTGTCCTGTTAACTTCTCAAATAGCTCCAGGGACAGAGATTACTACATCTCTTTTTACAACAGGGTAGATCTAAGAGCAGATGTTAATAAATTAAATCATTTAAAAACTCTATTTTATTAGGCTTTCATTGTATTTTAAAATTAATGGTGGGTTTTACTTTTCTTTTATTTTTTAAAGGAGAACATCGCAGTGGGAAAAACTGAATTAGGAATGTCAAGAACTGAGTTGTAGCCCCTGCTAATTCATTCATTCATTCACTCCTTTGTTCATTTCCCTGCCTTAGGACCCAGGTAAGGAGTAGTACAACTCTGCCACCTTGTAGTAACAGGGGAAATAATGCCTGTGCTGCTTTGCTCGCATGTGGCAATTGTGGAAATGAATTGTGATGATGTATGTGGTGATGTTTTTCATGCAATGTAGAGCTATAAACTTTTTGTATTGATATGGTAATAATAGGGAAATTAGTGTGTATAACATTAACATAAATATTCTGTTGGGCTCTACTTGAAAACAATGAGCAGGATTGATTTTATTTTCTGACTTTATTTCACAAAGCAGTTTATATCTAGGTCCTTAATCATTCTAGATGAGTGTAGCAGGTTGGGAGCTATACCTAGAAGTACAAAATCCCCCAACTGCCTAGAACTTTTGTGGACTATCATGCCATCCCCTTACTGAGTTCCAGTCTAGAAATTCAGAAAGCATAATTAGAACAATAACAACAAAAGGATAATACATTTTCCAGTCCTCCTGTTACCCAGGACTAAAAGATCGTTTATATTGCCATTTCCCCCCCCCAGTTTTTATCCTTAGATATCACATGATGATAATAATAGCTGTTATTTAAGGCATTAAATGGGCTACATAACATTTGAAAAAAATAGCATTAACCCCCAAATATTATGATCATGCATCCTTTAAACATGTGGTAAGGCCTCTCTGTTTCTGTGCAGAACGAATATACATTTTGAAGTTAGAACAAACTGGGTTGAAACAATGCTCCATCTTCAGCTATGTGACTGTGGGGGTAAGTCATTATCCACTCTAAACTTCAGCTTCCTGAGGATTCAATGAATGGCACGTACAGTGCATCAGGACAGGGCTTAGCCCATTTGAAGCATTCTGTGTCACCTCCCTTTTCCTTCTCATCACAACACCAAAATGTTTACTTATTTTAACAGATATTAATGTTTGATCATTTAGAGTAGCACGAAATATCTATTACATTTATTTTAGCTAGGAATATTGTAAAAATCCATGCTTTTTATCTACATGAATTAAGAAGCCAGGACTTACATTTTTAAAAAAAATGTTTTATTGGAAACCTGTTTGCCTTGCATAATGCAGAAATGTAAGCTATGATTGCGTTAATGACTTAAATGTGAAACTAAAGCCACAGAAAGAAGAGAAAGTATGGAAGGGTAGTTTAATGATCCTGCATTGGAAAAAGCCTTTCTTCTCATGATAGCAACTAAGGTGTCATAAAAGAAAAATGTATCATGTTTTATTATACTAAAATTTAAGACCTTAGTTTGGCCAAAAAAGAAAAAAAATAGTAACCATAAAAGAACAGGTAAACTGTAGAAATTTATTTACATTTCAGAAGCAAAGGCTAATATCCTTAGTATCATGAAAGTGTTTTTTGTAAAGAACTACAAATCAATAAGGAAAGATAAACAACATAGTACAGTAAGCAAAGGTTATGAAAGGGCAGGTATTTAGGTGACTCACTCTTTCCACCTGATAGCTTACTTTGGTAGTCTTGAGTCTAGCTGCAGAAAGAAAGGATTAAACTATCTTTATATGTGAGTACAAAGACTGTGGTACTATATTGGAGTGCTGTGATTAGCTCTGTTTTGAAGGAGTGAGTATTCTTGACTGAGTGCTTATGCCTAAGTTTCCTGAAAAATTTTGTTTAGAAATTCTAGTTCTTCAACTGGTGACCTTTCTAAACATTGGTGTTTACTTTGTCTTCTTTGTTAGAGCATCTGATAACATACAACTAATCCTTTCTTGATGGCTTAGTTCATCTTTAAGAACAGTGATGATTGTGCTTTGCTAGAATGCAGTGCAATGAGGTTAGGAAGGGCTGTTTATTCTTATGCTGGTTATGTTCAGAGTGCTATGCATTTTGAATTCTTGGGGAGATATCAATGCTAGCGACAGAAGACAACCAGATAAACTAGTTACCCTGAAAATCCCCTAGGAAGCTTCCACTTGGGAGAGGAATGTATAATCCATCTCTTCAGAATAGCCCAGAAATTCTGGATAGTAAATCCAGAATAGCCCATTTTTCTTTTGCATTGGAGAGGATTGCTCTTTCTTTGATTCAGCCTCAGATAAGGTAGTTGGTTCAAAATGAGGTACCAGGTTCTATATATGTACATATAAAAAACTTGTATTTAAACTCTGGGGTATTTGCTTTGTGTTTATACTTTACGTGAATGTGTTTACATCTTCTTACCTATCCTATGAAATATACCTATTTTGCAAGTGAGAAAATGGAGACTTTGAAAAATTAAATCCCTTACCACTTAATACATGGGAGCTAATAAATGGAAGAACCTGTGATTTAGATTTAGGTTGATCCAATGCTATACCAATTTTTTTAGAGTTGTATGTAAAATAAAAATAAAAATGCTCTGAATGAGAGTCTAAGAACTCCTCACCAACTGATACATGGAAATTTGAGGTCTGAGCCTTGGGAGTAAATGCATATGAGCTATCCAGAAGCATGGCTGTCTTCTGCTTCTCATCAGCATTCTGCATATTTGTTGAGATGATAACCACAATATGAGGTGCTATAGTTTATAGAGTTTTTGATCATGTATGCAGCTTGCCACACTGTATTATATAAACACATTGTGATTGAGTAATGAATAAAAATAATTTCATATTCTCCTGGAGATTTCCCATTCCACACCTCTACCCTGGCATTGTCTTCATGAATCTTACATTGTGCCTCAGAGTTGGGTAATAGAGTTGAGCGTATAAAGGATGGAAGCTTTCCTGGGAGAGATGTGTATAATCAGCTGATGACTGAATACAATTGACTATGCATGATGTAACTCCTATCATATACACCCCACAGAAAACCCTGAGTAAGGAAGACAAAGTCACCACAGCATGCTTACTATTTATTCACGGTTGCACAGTTTTTGGCTTCAATGCTCTGGACTCAAAAATGGTGACGTAAATAGCAAGAGTTATGGTGAGGCTCTGAGAAACAGGGAATTTTATATAAACCTCTCTTGTAATGATTATGATTGAATTACTTAATGTTCCTCTTTTTTTTTCTAAAAAGAGATTAGCTAGGGAATCATTTCCCAAACATTACCTTAAGCAATTAAGTCAAATACTTGCCCAAATGGTTTAGATTTTCATGATGTGTAATCTTTTCCTGTTTTCTTTTCATTGCTCTCTGTGAGAATCCCTTGCATTACTCTTAGGATTAGCTGCTCTTCCCTTCTTCTCAGCCCTTATCTTCTCCGTCCTCCTTTTTGGTCTCCTCCTCCCCTCTCTCTGCTCCCCTTCCACCTCCCAGCACCTAGCTGCTCCACAGAAAGAACCAACTTAAACACATTTGTTAAATTATGCATTTTATCTAGCTCACAAAGTCAATTTTATGCTTTTTATTGGCCCCATGTTGCTACAGAACTTCCTTAATTTTTAATTTATGAGCTGCAATGCATTACTTCAGTTTTTTCAACTTTTTATTTTGAATTACCCTAACTTCTTTGTAAAACCCCATGGACTGACAGCTCTATGTTTTATCCTTCTTCCCACTTTCCACCTTCCCTTTATGCCTGAGAAAATGCTGCTGGTGGCCTCACATTGGAAATCTTGGCTAAAACCACGGGGTGACTTTGGGTTCTTGTAGACCTTTTCTAAATCTGAATTTCTTATCTGCAAAATGAAGATGATAATAATAATACCTTAGGAGTTGATGTGAGGATTAAACAAGGTGATGCATATAAAGTTCTTGACACAATGTATGTGTTAAATACATATTAACTATTGTTATGATTGTCATCATTTTGCTTCACAGTTATTTTTTACTTGAAATACAATCTGTGTTTTGTAGTTCATATTTTCTTGATTGTATATTTATACACACACATATATGTACAATGTTGTTTTGATTTCAGTGTTCCTGCACATTTTGATTGTTCTTTACTGACATCATTTTCTCCAAGCTACCAATTTATTTTTCTCTTTTTGTTTCCATATAGCTTGAAGGAATCTATATTATCAGGTCTCAGTTCAGAATTTTAGAAGCTCTCAGCTCTGAAAAGACTGTGGTACCCCTAATGCCAATATCCACCCACATGCAAATAAAAATAAAATAGTGTATTTGAAAGGACATAAAATTTTGTAATAATTACCTCTCATTTAAGAATGAGAAATATGAGCTTTAAGTGATGAAATTAAATTAGATTTTTAATTTTATGTTATAAATTTCTGAATCAATTCACTGTACCTGAAATTTTTACTTATTTAGAGAGGTAATTGTTGAGCTGATGTTAGTCTCTGTATTAAATAATTCAACAATGTAAGGCATTTCTTTAAGAAATACACAATCACACATACATGCACACATACTATTATATGTATATGTAAACATATATATTCATATATATATATACACATATTATATATATAATTGTGGTATATTTTAAAGTACCTAAAGTCCAGAAGGAAATGATAAGGACATAAAGACAACTCTTGCATCTATTATTTCCTAGCAGATTTTTTTATAGGTTTCTCAAAATGTCTATTTCCTATCCTCATCTGTGAAAATGGGGTCATAGCAATATTTGTTTTTCCATGTTGTTATGAAAATTAGGGAAGATAATGCAAGTGACCCCACTTGAGAAGTTATTAAGCAGTATGTAACTTCAGTGAATTAAAATTAAATATGGCATGCTTTCTTTTTCTCATTAAATCATTTAGATGTGAGATCAGGGTCAACTGAATAATTCTTCCTTGCCTGTCCCCAGCTGTTTGGTAACACATTCCTGGATGCTTAGTGAGCACAGTCTCTTTCCCACCAAAGTGTTGTTGCCAAGATAAAATTTTATTTCATTACAAGGGAAAGGCCAAGGGGCAGGTGTAAAAAGTTACATCAACATCATACACTTGTTGGGAGGTTTAAATAGAATTATTTTTAAAGTATTCACCATACTGCCAAATGCATAGGGAATGCTAAGTAAATGAGACTATGCTAGATTGTTATTGATAATGTTTTTTGAAGCAGGATCCATTCTGATTTTTGGTCAAAGTCAGACGTGAGGTATAAGAATTAGAGAAAGTGGGGATGAGAATCATATTAAGGAAAGGACAGCCAGAATTAATATGGTAACAGGCACAGTATATATAAGCAGTAGTGTCAGTCTACATAATTTTCATGGACAGTGATTTCTGGATAGCCAAGCTTATTTATAAAATACTGCAAGTTCTCATTGGCTGCCATGGAGGGTGGATGATATAAATTAGAAGGTCTTTATTTTTCTGAGTGTCATGGGGTTCAGGGTACAATTTTGAGGCAGCACCTGAGGAAGACCTGAAATTTTCAGCAATCTAGAGGGGAGAGGTTTTTGAAGACTCCGAGAAAACTAGGGAAGGAACAGATAAAGAGAAGAGAGAGAAATCCTGGTAGTGATTTGGAAAAGAAAATAAATATCTAATGGAAGCCTTCAAAACTTTTTGGAGAGATGTGTAATTTAGATCTCTTCCTCCATCTTTGCTACACAATCTTCAGTAAAATCTGCACTGCTCACAAATGCTTTTGTGTAGATAAATTCTTTAGAAGAACTATGAGATACAAGGGTCCACTGACACAGGGCTAGTGCAGAGCTGGTGCGTTTGAGAACTTCTAAGTCACAGTCTGCCTTTTCCTGGTCCCTTTTACTCTAACAACCATTGTTCTCAGAGGCTTCCATTCTGCAGAGCAGGATTCCACATTAGTAGCTTTGAAGGCTTCAAGTTAGGTTCTGATCTCTGGAACCCCCAATTCTACTTTAAATT